CCTATCTGAAAGTGTTTTAATTAGGGTATGATTCTTTAAAAGTGACGTTTCAAGGTTGAATTTAATAAATAAAGATGTTCATTTGAATGTTTATTCAATGTGCCATAATTTACCAGAAAGATTTCCCCATATTTCTCATTTAAGATATTGTATAAATCAAGAGGTGTATCAAATTCGTTAGCGTCCAGAGTGTACTTGTTAAATATGTCGATCGTTTCTTTCACTAACGCGTCATTTCTCCATGCTGTTGTGAATATCTCATACGTCATATACATCCTTCGCCATTTGCTTACGATACCATATTTCTCTATTGCTGCCTTGTGCACTTCAGATGTCGTTACTACACGTCCGCATATGGCTAAATCTATCATTTTGTTCATCATTGTCATTTCCTCACCAACATCTTGTAAAGTTGACTAAAAGAAAAGATAGAAAGCGAAATAATTTATTAATTAGAGATTATTTTACAGAGATTGAATTATGTTTGAGCGATTTTGTATAATGTAAACACGACAGATGCAAAAATTCAAGCACTTACATCCAAGTAATTCATCGCGCACCTCATACCGACCATATGAAAATAACAACAGTCAAACTTGTTGAATTTTGCGCAAAGCGATAGATTCAAAACTTTCATGATCGTGGAGATTGACAGAGGACTTATGGGATATGGAAGCACTTCTCCGATATTGGCAAAGGTCATAAGATCGACGTCGCAAGGTACTCCCGAGTCTAACTCGTGCATTATCTCGAAATCTGTCCATGCATCAATGGTTGTGATAGGCCGTGCTTGTAACATATAGATCTGCTCGTCGACAATCGCCCATTCCACATCTCGAGCTGACCCAAAAAGCGATTCCAAGTGCAATCCTATTTTAGCTAATCGCAAAGCGGATATATCGGATATTGAGATCTTTTTAATCTCCTGTTCACTTAGAGCGCTCGTAATTACGCCAATGTCATCAAGTAAGATTTTGTGCTCCTTATTTCCCAGTACTGAGGCACCTATAGTTAGAGTGTTATCCCACTTTCTATGAATCATAAAGGTATCAGGCTCAATCTTCCCTGACACTACCGTCTATAAAAAAAAAGTTACATTAGGGCGATTTATGTTATTTGTACTATGTAACAAGTATCACGAATTGGTGCAATGATTATCACAAATATTAAATATCATTCAATTTTATAAGTGCGTATTACACATTCAAATATTTTTTGTAACAGTATTTCTAATATTAATTGAGCATGACCTCTCCTAAACCATAATTGGCTGTAATAACAATGCTGGACGGATCTCCAGTTGTGGGATGTCTAGTAAACATGACACCAGCCGCTTCCGCGTCGACCATCCTTTGAATGCAAACACCCATAGATGCTCTTATCGGTAATCCGTTTTGTCGCCTGAATTGAAAGAAACATCATGTATAAATTCAAGACAATGTTAACGAGGCAACATTGTAGAGAAGAATAAATTACCTGTATTCGACGCTTTGATATGAAAACAGGCTTGCCCAGCATTTAGCAACGCATTCAATAACGTCACTCGCATTCTTCACGCCTAAATATGTCGAGTTTTGACCAGCAGCTGAAGTCTCCTCGTTGTCTTCTCCAATTGCGCTGGATCTTACGGCATAACGCCAAACACCTTTTTCATTTACAGATGATTCTAATTCCTTTAAACCCTGTAATATCATTTTTGCAATTTCTTTTTCAACAGGAGTACCCTGAATAATGGACACCGCTCTGAAAAATAGAGAACAGGCTTAGTTACAGTCGCATACATTTTACGCGAAATGTTAGACGTACTTTTGACAATAACTTTCGAGGTCCTCTTTTTTTTTGCAACAACTAATATCATTGATTAAGTTTTGCAATTGTTTACGATGTTGCAATTGTCGTTCAAAAGCGAGACTCGTTATACAAAAGCCTTGAGGTACTGCAAACTACAAATGAAAAAATTAATTTTACAAAGAAAGAATTTTTTGACGAGCAACAATTATCCCAAGTACACACGTCATCGGTATCGATAGATGTCAGAATTGCAAGAGAATATCCTTTTCCTCCTACGACACTTTCATTTTGGCATTGTTTATCATCAAAACGTAGAATGTATTTATCTTTTTGCGCAAATGTGTCGGGCCATGTTATACGTTGAATTTTCGCGATCGAAGTTTGTAATTGCCTTGGTCCAGTATATGAGCAGCACGTAATCATCAGTCCAACACCTGGTACATTTTAAAAATAGATTCAAACAAATAGATTCATAATATTTGTAGATAGTCTTTCAATTTTTGGTATTTCTTCCATTATGAATTATTACATCGACATACCTGTACTGCCGTTTAATTGTACTCGCAAATTACGAGTTGTACAAGCCCAAGACCATGGCTGGCCATTGTAACAAGTTATCGCGGTGCCCACCGAGTAATTGATTACGGAGCTGTATTGTTTTCCAGCTGCTGGAAAGTGAAAAACAATGGCGCGTAAATGTTAACGTAGCGTCATGCTGTAATACATCTTGCATGATGCAATGCGTGTATATTTGCATCGAGAATGATACATCAGAATAAAAACCTGTAAATGCAATCTTGTAGTTTATGGGAAATGTATCTTCTTTTTCAAAGTCGCTCAATTGCAGATTGGTCCAATCAATTTTGGTTATCATTCCTCCGGCTTCCTGGAGGTGTCCAAATTGCATGCTGCAATTAATTTCGTTTCACGAATGATTAACGTATTTTCCATTTTAAAATTAGTATTTATATAATTAAAAAATATTAATTGTTGCTTGTATAAAAATTTTCTCTCTCTATGTGATGTAATCGTAATATTTTAACAAGGGGACGAAAACAATGGTAATATAATAGAATAAAATAAGGATGTGTTTAGTTGACTGATTTCTTCATATAGGAAATTTTATATCGAACTATTTTATCATGATGTTGTAATATGTATTTGTTTGTCTTACTGTGAAAAGCTATGTTTGGTATTGCTCACACCAAGATAATACATAGCTCCATGTTGTGTCACACCAACAACTGTGAGAGTTTTATGAAATTGATAAGATTCATGTTTACCCCAACGTCGCTGGCAGAGTCCTCGTAAATAAAATTCACTTGTATTTGAATCTTTGAACGTTATCTGTCCGATAATGGATCCCCATAGGTCGAAACCGGTGTCATCTATTAATTGACTATCAACAGAAAAGGAAGCTTAAACCTATAGTATATTACACTGAAATGAGAGAAAACATGTAAACATAAAACATCAAATATATTAATGTTGTTAAGTTTTACATTTTGTGCATCCAATATTGATTTTTCCACGGTTCACGTGCTAAAGCATCCGCGTGCAAATAGGTACTCCAGTCATCTGGCCATTCTAACGATCGGGGTTTGCCAATAAATCTGAAAAACGGAACGTATTTGTAAAACAGGATGTTCGGACCGATTACACTTCTTAATATTTTTTAGCACTTAACAAATTTATTTCCCCTTACTCACATAAAATTTAGACGAATATGTTCCACGTTGTCATTATTGGATGTATTTCCTCGGCATTGGTTTCGAAGGAAACCATTGTATGTAATTCTCCAACGTTGTCGTGGTTCTAAGGATTCAATCTTTAAACCAGATGCTGACCATTTTTTACTTATATCTCCTACTGTAATTGTATCAGGACAATCTGTGTATTTAAAACGAGTGTATCATTAGAATGTTATATTTACCGGTTATGTAATATTTTTGTATCAAATGATCTTTACCGGGCAGCACATAGATTCGGCCATCCGACAAGGTTACTTGCAAGATCAATTCTGTTATGTGATATCCTCTGTGAGTCATTTTAACAAATAACGAATTACTTTTTTGATCAGCACCATAGAAAGATACACTGTCACAACTCTGTCATACAAATGAGTTTAGAAATTCATTTTGCATATAATTAATCTACCAATTAATCTACCGCGAATATTACATACTACTTACATTCTCGTTCATAATAATTTTTGGATTATCCGAGCATGGTTTCAAGATCTTCTTTACATTTAATATTACATCACTGTCTTTGAGTTTACTTGTTCTTGTTTTCTTCTCCTTCGAGATGCACCGAAAAGCCCACCAACGCTTTAGGACAAACGGTATATCTACAGAAATATGTTAATTTAAAAGCAAACGATTTTAAATCGATTATTGCTGCATCATCGTAAAAATAACAAAGTCACAGCTTAGTATTATCCTGACTTGATACACAAAGAAAAATAGAGTTATGTAACTTATTTGTCTGGATCGTCTTACCTAAACCCAGGTAACATGAGACTTGCTTGTTCATGAACCAGAGATAAATCCATACAGGAGGAATAATCGGAATCAGAATTTGTGCGGCACCCATAATGCGTGTCATTATTTATCTTGTAACGTGGCACAAATACTGCAGTTTGCAATAATTTCCGCTTACGCTATAAAGAATATATACACGTACTCATATATATATATATATATATACACACACACGTGCGCGCACGTGAATGCTACCAAAGTAGACTTCTCGGTCTGTTTCTCTCCTATTATATATCAGTAGATATTGAAAGACTGACGTGTTATCGCGTTAGAATCGATTCAAATAATTCAAGGTCCCCCGTTATCGGGCAACGCAGTCAGTATTTTCTCACGTAACAAATATAATCATACCTAGAAGTAACTTGATGACATATAACACCTGCTAAATGAGTGTTCGAAGAAGGAATGTGCCGTTCTCTTTCCTGATGTGTTCAATGTTATTATGCAATTCCCTTCTACGAGTCCTTTGTCACGCTGGTTATTGAACGCATCGCGCCGAGAACATTATAGATAATATTATCACATCGATTATACATTGTTTGCAAGATCCATTAGATCCGTCAGAAACCATTTATAAAAGAAAAACAAAAATTGAAAAATTATAACAGTGCACTTTAGGTGATAATAAAAGAAATTTATAAATATACTTTTTGTAACAATTGTGTGCGTATATTGATTAAATTTTTACATTATTGATATAAATACTGTTTGTCAGCATGTAATAACACTTCAACATGATATTACGAAAGTTTTAAGTTCTAGATAATGAAGACAAACAATAACAGTAAACAATATAAATTGTTAATTTGTTTTTTTGTGCATATTGTTGCCAGAATCAACAGCTTCTTCTGTGATTGTATCAGTATCCACACGTGATTTATCCACCGGATATAACCTGTGGATAAACGTTTTTTTTTTACATTCTAAAATAATGATCGATACATACGTGATAGTTGCGATGAACGCTCCGAATAGAATGACGTGCGTTTGCACCAAACCACCGAATATTACTGAACAAGTAGCAGGTAGCGATGAAGAGTGACAAATTTTCGAATAAGACAGGTTTAGATCCTTCCAAGAATGGATGACATAGCAGTTTCCACGTTTCACAATGGTCAGGTAAAAGAAATGAAAAGCCAAAAGGGACAGAAAAACATATTTTTAAAGAATGCTTACCTACAGGTAGAATTTCGTTAGAAGAAAGGATCGTTTTTGAGTTATCCAGTTTAGTAAATCTATTTACAAGTTTTGAATGTATATATTTGTAGTTGAACATAAATTTATGAAAATTAAATTTAATTATTTCTGAAGCAAATCGGTTCGGTCGAAAAGAACATAAACGGGAATCGATCAACACATTTTCTCCATTCCGTTACGATCTACTCTCTGTCGTTCAACATAAGTCGCAATGTTCAGTGGTACTCGGTATGAATTTCGAGTTGAACGAAAGGAAACTCTTACCATCTTTGATACAGATAAATCAGAAAGACGGCGTCATCTCTGAAACATGCTATTTTGTGAGCTGTCGGCATCGTTATAATGAAAGCAAACACGTCATCGATGAATGTGTTAAATGCTTTGTACATGAACGCTTTCCACGGCAGATGCGCCACGGATTTCAATTTATAATTAACGAATAATTGCGGCAGCATAAAAAGGAATCCAAATGCGTAAACTCCATTCACTAAGGAATTTATACTCCAAGAATACCAACTGTAACTCAAAACAATTTAATTAACGGCTCATCTAGAGCATAAAAAATATTTCATACATATATTTTTGTCGTTATAGATAAAAGTGGTCGTTTACCTTTTGTGTGGCTGATAAAGTAACGAGTATATTGCACCAACGATAACTAATGGATATAATAAGTAATTCAGATAACGCATACTTTCGGCATCGAATTCTCTAGTTTTCATTTCTGCTGCATCGATGCTATCAGTTTTAAATCGTATTCTTGGGAAAATGTTACCGCTACTGATTAATTCCACTCTCGACATCTTTTTCAATTTCCATAGCTATTAAATAAATAAACATATACACACGTGTGCGCGCGCGCACGCACACACACACACCCCTAGATAAATGATGTTCGAAATAACTGCTGAATCATAGAAGAAAAAAGTGTAAATACACTTTCTTTTCTATGTAGAATGTGATAATGTAAAGAAAAAATTTCATTTTCTAATCTTTTTAAGATTATATCAAAGTTATCTTGTGTGTTTTTTAAAGAGATTCTCCAGTCATTTGACATAATATAGGAACTTGATTAAATTTTGAGAATAAATTTGTTATAAAAATAGAGGCATTTCTGAATTTTTTCAAATTTTTTGACCATCTGGATTAAAAGTTATATTTCAATAAAAAGTAATATTTTTTAAATTTATACTCTAATAGAAATATACGAAAATTTACAAAATAATGATAAAAATCTCAATTTTTTTATGTAAATACTATATGAATTCAAAAATGTTTATATAAAGTTACATTGAGATGCAGACATTAATTGTTCAATAAATAAACAAAATATTTGTTTGTTATAAACTAATTGATAAATCTCAATAAAACTTTGCATAAGTCATGTTTAATACTTAATATATGTTTATAAAAAAATTTAATTTTTATTTTTTTTTAATTTTTGTTTATAACAATAAAACTAATAACAAATAAAATAAATAATCTATAAAAATGTGTTACTCAATGAAAATAGAATGTTATGAACACAACTTTCACATGTATGTAGTTTGTTTAAAGCGTAAATATTAATATGTGTTTTATGACTGGAGAACCTCCTTAAATAGAACACTATATATTTCAGTACCACGAAAGCACAGAAAAAGATGATTTATTAGAATTTCTTTGAAATTATCTTGAAACAATATTTAAAAAGTCAACAAGAACGGCACAAAAATTATCATGTTCTGACATGAAATATCTCATAAATTATTAATTCCTTTATAAATGTACATACCTTAATAAAGAGAATAAAGACTGGTACAAAAAATACATAGTTGCTTTTTAAAAAAATTATGTAATTTGTAATACGCAATTACATACCTTGTTTGACAAGAAGCTATGTATTTTCTTTGCATCAAGTGATTCATCTCATTATTTTGTGATTACAAAAGTATCAAGGTATGGTTATAAAAAAATTAATAATACGAAATATCTTGTATTTTGTATACACATATGTATAACGGTACAAGATAATTAACATATATATAATTAATTTAATTTAAATATGTTAATTTCTGTACTGTTCCAATGACTTTTTGGGTTGCTTCAAGATTAGTTTAGAGACTATTTAATTTATCTTTTTCTGTGCTTTCATGATACTGTGAAATAAAAATATGTTTTTTAAAAACATAAAATAACTTTGATATAACTTCAAAAATTTAGGAAATAGTTTTTTTTCATTATCAAATTTTTACATAAAAAAATAAAGGAAATGCATATTTCGCGCGCGCGCGCGCGCGCGCGTGTGTGTGTGTGTGTGTGTGTGTGTGTGTGTATGTATATATATATATATACAACGTAAATACAGTTAAGATAAACAATATTAAATCTCATAAGAGAAACGTACATGTAAGAACACAACCTATAGAAAATAAATGCCTTAAACGATCCAACTGAATCTTAAGTGCTTATATAATTCTGTGTGAATTTATATACTATGTAGGATAGTTCTTTAAACTGCGTGCTGAAATAATTTTTCGGTCTTGAAACGCAATCCTTACTAAACCACCGCAGTAATATCACAAATTAAAATGACTAACAATTTAACAATTTGATGCTCTTTATGTATCTTAAAACGATCTTAATAATCCTGAACGATATATTAAAATCTGTAAATAATTAATTTTTATTGCGAAAAATATTACCTCGGCCGGAAGTCAAACCTGAATCTCTAGTATTCCGTGCGAACGTTCTAAGCATTTGCGTTTCAAGACAGAAAAATCATTCCGCCGCGCAATTTAAAGGACTACATATATAGTATATAAATTCATACAAAATTATATAAGCACTTAAGATCCAGCTAGACCGTTTAAGGCATTTATTTCCTACAGTTAAGATATTTAAAAACTAAATCATATTCCATATTACACCAACTGTGATAATGACAATATAAATTAACACATGTTGTATACTCGTAATGTACACCATATATACTATATATATAATATATATATACAGGGTGTTAGTTAAGTATATTGCCATACTCAACAGAGTGATTCTTTGGTTTATTTCAAGTAAAAAAGTCCATATAAACATGTGTCCTAAATGGCTTAGTTTCCGAAATACAGGTGAATGTTCGCAAACGTTTGACAAAACGGTAAATTGCGCTGGAAATATCTTCCTGCATAAATATGTCTTGCTTCACGAGAATTACCATTCGCACAACCGTAAACAAAGTGACAAAGTCAAAGTCACAAAATCAAAAATAGAATTCAGTTCTGATGTTGCTGCAGGTCAATTAGCTTGTACATATGTTTTCAACAATTCATCTAATTGCTTTATTTCATCAGAAGAACTGAAGCCTGTTTTTGACTAGTTTTTGACTAGTTCAAGCTGTATTTCTTTCAAATAAACAGATTATTACTACACACATTAAAATTTTTTTATTTCGGTAATTAAGCCGTTTAGGACACATGTTTATATGGACTTTTTTACTTGAAATAAATCAAAGAATCGCTCTGTTGAGTATGGCAACATACTTAACTAACACCCTGTATGTGTATATATATATAGGGTGTCCCATAACTCACCTGACAATGCTCGTGGGCAGATAGAGCAGACTAAACTGAGTCGAAAAGTCCTCTACTATTTTGTAATTTTCGCAATAGTTAACAAGATATTAATTACTAAAAATTGCCGAATATTGGTCTTCAATAATTTTTTTCTCAAATACTATCAATTTTACAAAAAAACTGCAAGAGACAAAAATTGTTTATTTTCTTCTCATAAAATTCTGAGAATTTTTTCAGAATTTTTTAATACCGTATTTTCTCATGTTGGTGAAAATAGTTGCTAATAAGGAAATGCAATACTAAAAAGTTGATAAAAAATTCTGAAAAAATTCTTAGAGTTAAAAAATTATTGAAGACCAATATTCGGCAATTTTTAGTAATTAATATCTTGTTAACTATTGCGAAAATTACAAAATATTAGAGGACTTTTTGCCTTAGTTTAGTCCGCTCTACCTGCCCACGAGCGTTGTCAAGTGAGTTATGGAACACCCTGTGTATATATATAGATCGGTGGGTCGTACATTCGGCAGCAATAGGCCGACTGGACGCTCTTATTCGATTATCTTTAACGTTAATATCTCCTTAACTATTGCTGACACCGCAAAATGGTACAGGACTTTTCGACTCAGTGTAGTCTGTTCTATCCACGCACGAAATATTTTGCAGAAAAAAAGTCCTATAGACATATGCTCCTTTTTGCTTTGTTTCGCAGGAAATCACGAAAAAAGAAAAAAATATATTTAATTTATTATTTTAATTATTTTATTTATAAACTTTTTAATGAAGATTTTGTTCGAAATGTGCACCTCTTGCAGCAATACAAGCATTGCATCTGTCAAACACGGCTCTTGTAGCAGCCAGGCCTTTAAAGCATTACCGTTGCAGAAACCGTATACAAAAACCATATCAGCATATTCACTATTAGAATACGTACGCGGCATATTGCAAAAGACAAAATTCATCTACTATTAAAGGCTTTCAAAGAGCGACTGACAAATTCATAACAGAAAGTGGAAAATGTAATCAAATATGTCGGTGCTAGATATGGCAAGAAATATAAACATTTTTTTTCGATTTCTCTGAAACGGAGCAAAAACGAGCATATGTCTATAGGACTTTTTTTCTTAGTTTTTTACTCCTCTACACGCTCCCAAAGTTTTGCGATTTAATTTGGAAACACCCTGTATATATATATATATGAGGGTGAATCAGAGTCATTGAACCAGCTTTTTACTCTATGAGAAAATTATCGACTGCACACCTAATTATCGACTTAACGGTATAGATCAGATGCGTGGATATGCATCGTGTAAATTGATTATCCGAGCACGAAGTATTTCATGCAAATCGGTGGAAAGAAGAAAATATAGAGAACAGAAAATTATAACATATTTAATTGAAAATAGAAAATTATACAAGTCTATATTAACGTTTTTGTTTTATGTTATACAAATAATATTAAATCTTCTTAATTCTTCTCCAGTCATGGCATTTGTAAGTACTATTTCGATAGTACCCAAAAATAAAGATCCCACACAGCACACTTTATCCTGAGGATATCCCAAATTGTCCCATATTGATAAAGCTTTATCCTGCGGACATCCCATATGGGGATAAAGGATCAGGATAAAGTGTGCTGTGTGGGATCTTTATTTTTGGGTACTATCGAAATAGTACTTACAAAGGAAGTTTCACAACTGTCCGGAAATGATTTGATTCTCCATGAAATATGTTGTTAAATATGGTGTTTCACCCCCTAAACATGAGTTAGCGCACGTATAAAAAAACACGTGTCTCTTAGATTTTCGTGTACAACAACATATTTTATGGAGAATCAAATCGTTTCTGGACAGTTGTGAAACTTTCCTTGTTAGAATTGCTATGGCATTTCTGAAGAAGAGTTAAGAAGATTTAATATTATTTGTATAACATAAAACAAAAACATTAATGTAGACTTGTATAATTTTCTATTTCCAATTAAATATATTATAATATTCTGTTCTCTATTTTCTTCTTTCCACCGATTTGCATTAAATACTTTTTTGCTCGGATCATCAATTCATATGATGATATCCACACATCCTCTATATCGCTCTATATCGCTAAGTCGATAATTAGATGTGCAGTCGATAATTTTCTCATAGGGTAAAAATTAAGCTGGTTTATCGACTCTCTCTGATTCACTCTGCATATATATATGTATATATGTATATACATATATGTATATATACGTACCTCGATAATAGTACTAATACCAGTAGGAATGAGAACAAGTAAGGAAGAAGCTTCTTCGCAAAGATAAAGGAAGATCACGGTTTGACTAAATGCACGCCAGATCACAGTCCATTTGCTGAGGCCTATGAGATTACTCTTCTTCCGCCAAAAGCTAACGTCATTTTTAATAGCAAGGAAATCAAACAACAACTGTAAATGAAAGATTGGCGTTCTCTTTTATCTTATATTTTTTTTAGTTTTCATGATGCATATAATATCTATACTTGTACTCACGTGTACAGCTGCAATGAAGAATGTACCACCTAGTAGGTAGATGTTAGTATCTGCAAAGATGCCCTTTACCTCATCGACATCTCTGTCGGAGAAGCCAAGATTCTTGAGATTCTCCATGGTTGCTTGTACGTGCAACACTAATCTTAACTTTCCTAGAGACACAGGTGAATATTCTACTGCAACGTTCATCGTATTATTTTGTGGAGTAATCCGCTGAAGGTCCCGATGCCGTGTTCGTAAGAAATCACAGTTTACTATCGGCAAAAATGTCTGTTTGCCAATTATTCTGCAATAAACAAGCAAGATAATGTGTTTTTAGCGATTAATTTATTTGAGCCATATTGTGTTGCACAAATAGAATAGAAATTTATATACTTTATATGGTTTACGAGCTCGGCAGGTATGCCATATATAGGAAGCATAATGTTGTCTGTCATTATTGTAAATGTCACACGACTTTTCATGTGCGAGACTGGACGTACAACAATCTGGCTATTAGCTGTCTCCACTCTGCGGTCGCCTAATAACTTGAATGCTTCTGCTTCAGGTACTATATATTGTGTCATTTTAATCGCAGTGTACGAAGTAAATATATCCTATAAAGATATAATTAAAGTGGTATAAAACAGATAGAATGTTGGAAAGTCCAACAAACAAGCATAGTTTATATATGTACATATGTCGTAATATTACATATCACATTACTTTTTGCAAATTGACAAATGTTCTGTCCTGTTTTATAAAGGGAGGCACTAAAAATATATGTAAAAACAATGTTCCATTCCGCCGTGTCTCATGTGGTACAGTCAATATCACTGGACTGTAAGAAAGAAAGTACATTCATTAGATTTGCAAGAGGAGGAAAGTCTCCCTCGGAGACTTTTCATTTCCATACAATGCTTTTGTCTTGGATTTATGTAAACCGATTTTCTCTCTCTCTCTCTCTCTCCCCCTCCCTTCTCTCTTAAAAAAGCAAGAAGGCAAGAACAATAACACATGAAAAGGATATATTCATAGGGATGCTCAAAGAGAGACTAATGGAATATTTATACTGACCATAAATTGTTAACTTACACTATAACCCCATACAGCATAGAATTTGCAGCAATATCACTATAAAATCTCTGCAATATTGCTGCAACATGTAATGTTGCTGCAACTTTTGTGCAACTTAGTACTGTAAGAGACCAGTAAAGTTTAACACAATAATTTCAATATTTTCATTCATAATAAATTACTAGATGCATGTAATACTTATGTCATAACCATAAAGTTAATTCAAATTTAATTGTGTTTCTTACATATACGATCCTAAAGATATAATATTGTTAATTCAAATTTTACAGCAAATGGCAGCAGGTAAATCTATGTAAATCATTGTGTTGAACTTACTGGTTACAGCATAAGTTGACAGAGTTTACAGCCAATATAAACTCTTCTTTAATTAACATTAACGGTTTGATTAAATGATGCATGAGGATACTCACATGATTTGCATTTGATTGTAATCAAAGTTTTGTGCCGAGTATACGAGATCAGTATCTCTGTTGACGGGATTTCTTTTAACTGAGCTGTACATGTACAAATCCAACTGCGGTCGTTCGCTCAGGTATGACTCAAGGCACAGCTTGCCATCCTCGCAAGCTGGCGATACGAATAACAGCGATAGTGTGTATATCGAGTAAACGATATATGCCAGAAATATCTCGGAAAGAATAACGCTGAGAGAGGGCCACTGCATTTCAGCTAATTTTGATGCGACTACCTTGAGAGGTATCTGTGTGTATTACAAAAGATAGATGCATATATTATACAACATTACATGGTTCTTACGTGCTTAGATTCTCATTCGAGCAGTAAGTGAACGAGATATGTTTATAGGCGTCCAACTACAGCCCAGCTAATCCGGCTTAATGACAGAGGTCAGGCCCGGCTATGGCTATCATTGAATGCTTTCCATTTGGTGACACAAGTTGACACGAACATCATTTTATCTGTCTTGAGAGTAGCATCATTCAGAGAGTAACAGAGATATAACGACACTTGTGTCCACTTGTGTAGTTTTGTATTACCAAATGGAAAGCACTCACTACTTCACCACTCAATCAGGTCACCAGCGATCTTCGTGACCTTCGTGCCTCGAATACGCGAAATGCCTCTTCTTCTTATTCTTTTTCTTCTCAATAATCTCTGGCTTTTTGACTCACTACAAACTGCTACAAACTGTCACAGTACCATGCGATAAATTTGTACATATCCCATGGTGAAAAGATTACATCGTGTACTTATTGTTAGTTGTGAACGTCTCTCTCGCTCTCATTCGCATTTTGCTCATTCGCTGCTCTCTCCAGCGGTCAAATTAGACGCTTTCAGCGCTTTCAAACACTTCTATCCTTAAGCCTGCGGCATACGATGCTTGTTTTCCTGCTGGATTCCTAGCTGGATTAGAATCTTGCCATCGTATTGGCTGCGATACTGATAGTGTCAGCATCGTAGCCAATACGGAAGCAAGAATTTATTCTAGGTAGCAATTCCGCAAGAAAACATCGTGTACCGCCGACTTTAGGGAGAAATCACACGGTGCGGAAAAAACTGCGGAATAAAGAATGCGTCATTGGCTGCGTTCAGCAGAACGTTTGTTTTGCAACTGTTGGAAGTTTCCTTCGCGCTAATTGGATCATACTTTTAGATCTAGAAGAATGGTCCTATCTCAGCAGATAATCATAAAACGGTTGCAAAACTGTTGAGTCTGCTGAACGCAGCCATTGAAGCAACCAATCAGCGCTATTCCGAATAGCGCTGATGTTAAACTGGCGCTACATTAGTCGCATCGCAGCGTCGCAAGCGTTGCGCTCCAATCAACATCAAGCTAGCTCGACTCTGGATCATAACGCTTGCGACACGCTTGCGACATTGCGATGCGACTAATGTAGAACCAGCTTTACGTCTCATGCGGGATCTACAATAGAAGTCGTAGCGGCGTAGTCTTAAGTCGTAGAAAATTGACCAATCACAGTCGAATATGAGAAGAATAATCAA